GAACCATGACGTCATAATTAATATTATATAATTAAAAAATATAATTAAAAATTATAAATAAATAAAAATATGTATAAATACTCAAATAAAAATAAAAATTGTTGTATAATATTTATTAATAATATTTAATAAAGTCATAATTGATAAAAAAAAAAGTCACTTGTTTTAAACATTACCTCCAAACAAATTGATTGAATGTTAGGTTTAATTTTGGAGGGAAATGAAATTTTCAACTCTCCCTACAATTAATATGTTTCAAATAATTTGAATGAATCCCACATAGAATTTTGTAAGTTCTTTTTGAAAAATCTTTTCCTATAAATAGGAATAGACTTTCATAATCTTCTCCAACTTTCAATGAGACTCTTCCTTATGAGAGGAGACTCTTAAAATAAGATTTTTTAGTCAAAATTTTAAAATATATTTATAACATATATATATATATATATATATAAGAGAAAGAAAAGAAAGAAAGAAAGAAAAAAAAAAAAATCACCGGTCTAACCTGCCAAAACCCGGTCTGGGTCACCGGTTATCCCGGTTTGACCGCCGGGTCCAGCGATTTTTCATTTCCAGGCCGGTTTTGCTCCTAGTTCGGTTCTAGGGGATTGACCGGACCGGAAGAAGGCCCGGTTCCCGGTTCGACTGGTCGGTCCGATCCGGGTTTCACAACATTGCTTTTTACGAAAAGATGTGCAAAAAGTAGTGAGAAAAAGGAATCTTTGACTTTTTTACATGAGTTGTTAGTTTTTTTAGTTTTTTTAGTAACTTTTTGACTTTTTGGCTAAAAGGGCACTTGCCAAACGAGGCCTTAGTGACTTTTTCTTTGATAAAGTTTTCAAACTGCTGTTAAAAGTTAAAAATTAGTGACTTTTTTAAATAATTTTTTTAAACTGTCGATAAAACTTTCAAACAAAAGTCACTAATTTTAAGAGGAACCCCTGTGAGATTATATCTTTTATTGGAAATTATCTATTGTATAGAAATATCTGTTTTGGACTATCTATAGAGGATAGTTTTGACTATTATAGAAATTGAATGAAGGATAGTTTTGATTGTTATAGAAATTGTATGAGGATTAGGTGAATTGGAATCACTTATTCATACATCTTACATCAAGCATTGTTGCATACTTAAACATTATAAATGTTCTGTTTTGAGAAAAAGATGCAAATACCTTGGCGAATTTAGTTAGGGAGTGAGGTTGTGGTTATTATGTTAGCTTGTGTGTCCTTGGTGAAAATCCAAAAACCCGCGCGATTAGGTGCCGATCCTTCCAATTAGTACAAGTAAAATAGTTTTGGTAGTACTTGTATAGCCTACTAGCAAACACATACCTAGAGATTCTCAGTGTTTTATATCCACTACCCTGTTTCTGTTATAAAAGGATTATTTTCATGACTTGATATATAATCTGACATTACATAATTTTGAGATGAAAATTGAGGAATGTTTAACAAATGGCATGCATGTGTATTCATCATGACTTTGTTAAAATTCATATGTTACGTTAAAGTATCTTTACTGGATTTTGGCTCGCCATGTGTGGAAAACAATATTTAGGTGCTGATCAGAGACGAAATCAGAATTTCAATTACGGAGGGGCCGAGATATGAAAAAAAAAACCATTTATATATCAATTGTTATCTACTGTCATATTTCAATTCAAAAATAAAAAATAATTAAGATTTGATATTAAAATAAGGGAATCGTTATTCTCACTCAACTTTATTCCCAATACACTCCCTTCTTTATTTTTATTATACATAGAAGGGAGTGTATCTGGAATAAAGAGGAGTGAGAATAATTACTATGTCTAATAAGGACAAAGAATGGAGTGCATTTGGAGTAAAGTAGAGTAGAGTAGAAATAATGACTCCCTTAAATAACACATAAAATTTATTATCTATTTAGTCTTCAGATGATCAAAAAAGAAGTCATACCTACTCAACTTTAATAAATAAATAACAAAGAAATCATAACTTAGTTAATTCTTTATATATGCTAACTCCCAATTATCGATTAAAGTGAAGGTAATTTTTTTTTTCTTTTCAAATTTCAAAAGTTTTACTAGGTCTCATGTGAATTTCATTAATATGATATTAACATTATGAGTATGCTTCATGTGGTGATAAATAAATTGTGATAAAAAAATATATATATAATTATGTATTATTACTGTTAAATTATGCTTTTATTAAATAAATCTATAAAAAAAAGATAATAATTCTATTTTTTTGGTGTACAAATTCTTTCGTACAGATGAGCTTGTTTTTATTAAGGCCCATTAAGTGTTCAATATTGCTAAGGTAGAGCAGCAGGGGCATTTCTAATAACAAGAAGGTTTTTGGTATCATAGCATATCATCCTAATAGCATTATTCCTTTGAACAAGGGGGCAATGGCCCCTCACTGTCTACAAATAGATCCGTCTCTGGTGCTGATGATATGTCTCTATTAAGGACATAGATTGGGAAGGCTTGGAGCCAAGGGCTTCTTTTATTTGTTTGATGTAATTATTTTGTATAAGTCTTGGGCTTAGTTGTATTGAGTTAAACTCATTTTGATATACCCAAGTGCCGATTTGGAAAGATGTAACCATTAGGACATATGATTATTTGATTTTACTTTTATTTTAAATTCATGTATCCATGTCATATATTATAAATTTAAGATCTAGAATTTATAAATATATACCGCTTGTGTCATCTTTTGTATGATCAAGATTATAAATGGAATATAAAATATGAGTTTATTGATTATTTGTAAGAAATATTACGAGATGGGATATTATTATTTATTTTGGAACGTTACACAAAGACTACCGTCGTAATCTTCTCAAAAATAAATAAGTCAATATAATTTGTGACGATTGATTTCTAAATTCAAACATAAGAATGTGCAAAAGTGGCCAACTAAGTTGGTTCAATTAATTAAAAACTAATTCTATTCAAGTATAACACACATTTTCTCCCTATGCTTTTTTTCTCTCCAATCCCCCTACAGGAAAATGTTTAATTCAATATTGAAAATGTAATTTGCAAAACAAAATAATCGGAGGGAACAGAGGAGAGCGGAGTGGAAAAAGAGTCTAGCAGGTACAATCATGTATGGCAACAATCGTCACTAAAAGAGGGCGAAGTCAGGCAAGAGTCTCCTAGGATTGGCTTTTCTTTCAATCCTTGACCAGATTAAAAGGTGGTGTTAGATCCGTAGGGCTCCATCACCGGTTTTATTTTGATAATGTGAACCGTTCAATATGTAAAATTTGTCGAGTACTATACGCCTGTAAAAAATCATGTTGATCAAATATCGATATTTATTTTATCGGATCAGATTTCTATTAATTGTTTATTTTTTTACCGTCTATTTTTTTTATACAAAACTTATTTGATCACATAGTTATCGATATCGAATCAATGTAATTTATATATATATATAATACTTGACGAGTTATACACAACGAGTCCAATAACATCCTCAACTGGAGGGGGCCAAACCCCTGCACTAATAGTTGTTAGCAGTGATCTTCCATGATGAGTCTCACAATTTTAATTAATAAAAATTAAATTGTTGCATCATGTGTTATTGTCTTTGGAACAATAAATAATTTTTCATAAAATACAGTAATTATATATCTAAAGGCTTTTTTTGATCTAAGATTTGTGTAGCAAAACGAAAAGAAGAAATAAATAAATAAAATCAATCAAATAAACAACCTATTTGTGCTTAGAAAATGATAAAGAAAAAATTAATAGATATATAAAATAAAATAAAATAAAAAGTTCAACAGATGTGATTCACAAGCAACTTATCGAGTCTTGGGTTGGAACAGAAAAGGGGAAGAAAAAATGAAAATGGTTTGCCTTTGCATTTCCATGTAAAACAATATTTACCAATAAATTTCATCTCACAGACAAGTATTTTAATTAGTCTTAACTTTTTTCTATTGATCTGTTAAGTCCTATTAGTGGAGAGTTTCTTTTTGTGTGGTCCTATTTTTTATTTTGATAGTGTTTTAGTAGACAACTATACCATTTTATTAATATAATACTCTAATGTGGCAAGTATTAATGTGACGCTCCGAAAAAATTAAAAACTTCTTAATGTATTTTTTTTCTAAATGTGACAACGTAGCGGGTATGATGTGATACTCCAAAATTTTTACTCAAAAAAAATAAATAAAAACTCTTTAGTTTACTTTTCTCTAATGTGATAACGTGTCGGGTATGATGTGACACTTCAAAAAAAAATAAAAACTCTTTAGTGTATTTTTCCTAATGTGGCAACGTGGCAAGTATGATGTGACACTTAAAAAAATTAGTGTACTTTTTCCTAATATGACAACGTGATGGGTATGATGTGACGCTTCAAGAAAAATAAACTCTCTAATGTATTTTTCCTCAATGTGGTAACGTGACGAGTATAATGTGACACTTAAAAAAAAACTATTTAGTGTACTTTTTCCTAATGTGACAACGTGACGAGTATGATATGATTTTTAAAAAAATAAAAATATTTTTCTCAAACGTGATAACATAGCGGGTATAATGTGATACTTCAAAAAAAATAAAAACTCTTTAGTGTACTTTTTCCTAATATGACAGCGTGGCAAGTATGATGTGACATTCTAAAAAAAATTAAAAACTCTTTAATGTACTTTTTTCAAATGTGACACTCTAATATGGCAGGTGTGATGTGATACTAAAAAACTCTTTCATTGTATTTTTTTTCAAATATGACATTCCAATGTGCCGGCAAATGAGTCATTACAAATCCAAAAGAATTAAATGGATCACAAAAAAAACATATGAGACTATATGAATTATAAGTCCAAAATATAATACTTATTGGTCAATCTCCCTAAAATATTCATATTTTTTTTTTTACGTATTTTCCTTAAAAAATCCAAAAAACTAATGCAGCATAAAAAAGAAAGAAAAAAATGTGAGACTATAAGCTAATGAAAAGACAGAAGCAAATTATTTCATCTCAAGTTGAAAAAGTTGTATTTGCCCCCAGGTCATCTATATATAGACTAGAAGGGCAAGGGCGGCAAACAAAGGAAACATGGTGGTCCAAAATGTTCTTCACATGAATGCAGGCAATGGAGAAACTAGCTATGCCAATAACTCAACCCTTCAGGTCTCTCTCTCTCTCTCTCTCTCTCTCTCTGTTTTATAAATAGGATAAATTTATCAAATGATAAATTTATTAATCTCTTTTGTTTTTATAAATAAATTTACAGTAATAAATTTATCAATCAAAACCTGTAGATAAATAAGTCTAGTTAGTAGGACTAATTGGTAAGTATCCCTTTTAAATATCAATCAACATGTACCGTATTGGTCAATACATATCTGGTTTTTTCATTCTAACACCGATACATTCCAGTACATTCCGGTATATTGGTTGAAATAAAAATCACATGTGTATCGGTCAATTCCCAAAACGTATCAGGTTTCACACCTGATATGGCGAGTTCAATTGCTATAAAGCACTTTTTTGCGACTGTTAATTTTAAAAAACTCCTGACCGCGACAGTTGATTTTAGATGCATATCGTTTGATACTCTTCATAATATGACACCGCAATCAATACCGATATATGTCAAGATAGTACTATTTAAAATTATGATGCAAACCCTTGCATCACCTTTCACTACATCATATAAGTGTTTTACGGACCAAACTCTTTCATCTCTACAAGTGAAAATTTTGTTGGAAAAAATGACCTTAGCAACAAAATGAAAATGTCGCTAATAAATATAGTTTTAGAGATAAAATAATTTTGTGCCAAAAGATTTACTTTTTGAACAAAATTTTTGGTCCCAAAAAAATAGTAATTCATTATTAAATGACTAATTTTGTCGCTAAAAATACAATAATGACATTTTTGGAAATTAAGATATTTCAACTCTTATTTTTTGTGTCTAAAACATTAATTTGTTGTAGTGTTTATCAACTCTTCCTTGTACACCAAAATCAACATTACTTAAAAAGAATAATACATCATTTTTATTTACTCATTCTTTTTATTTATTATGGCATCTAAACAATTTAATCATATGTTTATTCAGAAAACAGCAATATTGATGGCGAGGCCAGTTCTAGAAGACACCCTCAAGAAAGTGTACAACAATGATGCCTTCCCAAAACACCTAAAAATAGCAGATTTGGGTTGCTCTTCAGGACCAAACACATTCTTAGTCATCTCTCAAATAATTAACATCATTCATAATTTGATGCAACAAAACAATTGCAAAGCACCAGAGATTGAAATATGTTTAAATGATCTTCCCCAAAATGACTTCAACAACATTTTCAAATCGCTCCCAACATTCTATAAGAAGATCAAAACAGAGAAAGAAGAAAAGTTACACGGGACTTGCTTCGTATCAGGGGTGCCTGGTTCTTTTTATTGTAGGATTTTCCCAAGAAAGAGCTTGCACTTTGTTCATTCGTCTTATAGTGTTCACTGGCTCTCTCAGGTTTGTGTTGTTTTTCTGGTATCAAACATATGCACACAAAAATCAAGTATAAATCAAATTAAGGGTACTAAAGTGAAATAACATTTATCAACTTAGCTTATGATCAAACTAAATTAACTATTGAACTCCAAATTTAAACAAACAAAACATTCATAAAATTGTTACCATATCTTACTTTTTAATTTTTATTTATTGCGCGAGAGGTGTTGACATCACAACAAAATTAGTTAATCAACACGACATGTTAAGTAATTTTTTATTTTTATTTTTTATTTTTATTTTTTATATTAATGATAGGTTCCTGAAAGACTGGAGAACAAGGGAAATATATACATGGCAAGAACGAGTCCACCGACAGTTTTTGAAGCATATTTAAAGCAATTTCAAATGGACTTCTCAACATTTCTAAGTTTGCGCTCTGAGGAAATTGTAGTTGGCGGGCCTATGATTTTAACGTTTCTCGGTAGGAGGATTGCAGATCCCACTGACAAAGATTGTTGCATCCTCTGGGAATTGCTCACAAAGTCACTGCTCGACTTGGTGCCTGAGGTTTAATCCATTTCTCTTCGTATATCCCAATTAAAATTTACGATGCTCATTGCCTTTCTGTAGAACTATTTAAAAGTAACTGCAGCTATTTCATTGGTCGTAGGGACTCGTTCAGAAGGAAGCTATTGATTCATTCAATTTTCCTTTTTATTATCCACACAAGGATGAAGTAAAAGCAATAATTGAAAAGGAGGGGTCGTTCAATCTTGAAAGGCTGGAAGTTTTCGAGTGCAATTGGGACGCTAATGACAACAATGATGATGAACATTTTGTGTTTGACAAGGATAGGAGTGGTAAAAATGTTGCAAATTTAATAAGAGCGGTTACTGAACCTTTGGTGGTTAGTCATTTTGGAGAATTCATAGTTGACGATGTTTTCAAAAAATTCGCAAACCATGTTGCTGATCATCTATGCTCAGAGAAATCCAAGTTCATCAATATCGTCGTTTCATTGTTGAAGAAGTAATAAATTGACAAAGGAATGACCTCAAAACAAACTATTCCGATTTCCTTAGATTTAAGAAAATAAACTCGTTTCATTGTCGAAGAAGTAATAAATTGACAAAGGAATGACATCAAAACAAACTATTCCGATTTCCTTAGATTTAAGAAAATAAACTGTTTTATTTTTTATGTAGAACTTGCTTGTAGTATGCAGATGTATCTTTTAAAGAACAAGTTGTATCAGTTCTTGATATTAAACTGCTTATAGTTTGCATGTATATGCATTACATGTTAAATAATAATAACTTATGTTTTTAATATGATTTAAAAGTTATGCTTTATTTACATTAATATGTGATGGGTTAATTTGCTAGTTTGTTGCATATTGGAGTAACAATGGAAGAGAGAATTCCATCTACCATACCAAGCCACCTATAATGAGAAAGTTTTGGCATTTGGGTTTGGCAAGGGCTAGCAAGTAATTTTCAGAAGAACATCTATAATAGATTGTGATATTTCAATTGTGTTAATGTCACATTTTAATAAAGCATTAAAATCTCATATTTTGATAGACTTACTCAGTAGTGTATATGCTACTTTTAAAATGATTTAATTTCTACCATAAGATAGAATAAAAAAATCACAATGATGAAATCAGAGAGAAATTACAAGATATAGCAATAACAAGAAGGTAAAAGTTTGATGATGTTGACAAAATCTGAGAAAATAACATTGTACTCCCTCCAAAGTCACAAGTTTGAAACTTTTTAGGTGCAAACAATTTTTTGGGGTCAGTCTATATATACGAAACTTAGTCTCAACTTTAATTGGTATTAATCGATTAGTTAGTTTAATTAACCGAATACCGAATTATAAAACAAACAAAAAAAAAAGACAAAAAAACGGGAGAATTCTTTCCAAGGCAAAGTTCCATAATAAACTTGACACCAAGAAAGGAAGATTCAAATGAACTTTTGGAACTAAAGTTGAGTATATCAGCAACTTTCTATGTAAGCTAGAAATAGTAAAATTTGAACCAAAATCAACTAGCTATATTCATAAATCTAAACTACCTTTCAGAATCAACCTTCCTAACAATCAGATCAATTTTAGCCTATGATTGTTTTATGAGGAAACAAATTAATCAAAACAATGCAGATCTTACTTTTAGTAATCATAGGCAACTTTTAATATCATTTGAAGAAGGGAAATTCATTCACTCACATTTCAAATAGTGACTTCACCTAGCTTTAGCATACAGCAATAGTGTTCAAAAAACAGCAAATAAATGCATTTATCACACATTTCAAAAGTCATTAATTATAGAGAAAATTTCACTTTGCACCCCCAAATTATCATTTAAAAATCAATTTAATCCCTATTCTTTTAATAATATTAGTTTTACACAAACTATTTGATTTTGAATGAATTTACCTCCACCGTTAGTTGCCAACTATAATCAAACGAAAGTTGATGACGTGATACTGAAACTTCAATTGAAATTTTATTTTATCCCCCAAATTATTCTCAAAATATCAATTAGACCCCTAAATATATTTATAAAAAATTTTAATTTAAATATCTAATAATAATTTTCATCTAAAAAAACGAGAAAAATAAATTTTAAATATAAGATTTATAAAAAAATTATTTAAAAAATATACCTCATTTAAAATTTTTGCTTTTAAGTCACAAATTACCTTGAATCAGCCCTAAAGCCCAAAATTTTGAGCCTACTCTCTCTCTCTCTTTCCTAGCAATTGTAGATAGCTTATCTCTCAGATTAATTTGAACAAAACTGCTCCACTGGTAATACGTTGACAAATCGTGTGGGTAAAAATTTAAACCACACATAATCTGAGATAAATATCTTTCTTCGAGATTTAAAAAACAATATTGAACAACAAAATTATTATTAGATATTTAATTTTCATTTTTTTTTTATATATATTCAAGGATTTAATTGATATTTTGAAGGATAGTTTGGAGGTAAAATAAAATTTCAGATGAAGCTTCGGTGTCACATTAACAACTTCTATTTAATTATAGACAGCAACAGATGATGACGGGAGTAAAATTGACTCAAAATTGAATAGTCTAGGTGTAAAATTGATAATATTAAAAGAATAGGAGTTGAATTGATTTAAACATGGGGAATTACACTGACATGGTAGTCAAAAAAAATATTTACAAATAAGTGGTAAAGATTATAAATATTAAAAATTAAAATCATAAATCTTATCATCAATATGTAATATTTTTTCAAAACACCCCCTGAATGATAATATTGAGGCTTCACATATATTACAATTTCATATTACCAGCAGTCAGCCTTACAAATAGAAAATAAGGGCATTCACAAAAGTAAATAGTAATTTTGGTCAAACTGCATCATTTGCAATTTTGGTCAAACTGCATCATTTGCATGTATTCTTAAAAATAAGGGCATTCACAAAAGTAAATATATAGTAGTAATAAATATCTACCCTGCCCCAAATCAAATCCCCAAGCTCACAATACAAAAGAAGAAGAAAATAAAGTAAAGATGCTAAGAAGATAGGCTTCATACATGATGCAGGCATGTTTTCCCTCATCACAGCAGGTATATAAATGGCAGACTTGTTCAAAGTGAGGCACGGGGTTTTGGTTCAGAAGACAACGCTGAGAGGATCCTGGCGAGTGAGGACATGGAACTCACAGCCACATTCAACACTTCTTGTGAACAACCTGGTCTCACAATCTTCTTCACCTGTGCAAGGACATGCATCACCAAGCTTATAGTCAATCCATATTACGATCAAAATGCTAACTATGAAGTCTAGTGATCAAACCACTAAAAGTAGTTTAAGCTTTCTATCCTAATGGGCACAAATTCAAGTTGGCCCCTGCCAAGATCTAGGCCACACTCTTTGTGATAGGAAAAATACATTTAGACAACTTGAAGCAACATTAAAAAATATCTTTCTAGTTAGGATGAGTGCCTAACGTCAAAAGATTAAAAATGTGACTAGTTGCATTGAGTTTGTCTGAAACAAGTTCATTAGAATACCATCAGTTATTAGGGTAACACCATTGTTCCAGAAGTATTTGAAAAAGGGGCGACCCAGTGCACGAGGTTCTGGCTAAAAGAGGAATCGCAAACAAATATTTTGTGAAAAGTAAATAATTAAAAATTAAATATTTTTACTGTGTTCTCAATTCTAATATTTTTTTATGACTTTAGGTGAAGATATTATAGTATGCATACTAATCAACTTGTCCATTCAAAGCCTAAAAAGAGCCCAAGTAAAATCATTTCACTTTCATATGGCCACCAAAAGGCCAAATTAATAAATTTACTCTTTTGGTTCATGATAAAAAATTTGCAACTTGCCTTGTGGCTAAGTTTGATTCTCTTAATTGTTCATCATGATCAAGTGAAACAAGTCCCCCGCATGGAGCAAATCATACATGACTTGGTTTCACAACATTGCTGTAGGCAACATTTATGTAGTGGTAAGCTGCTAGAAGGCCACCAGGCCTGATATCCCAAAGAAAACAAAAACTAAAAACAGTTGACTATCCAAACAATGCTAATTGTCATTACTGCATGTCCCAAGTTAGCTAGATTCTTAAGATTGATGCAATGGATGGTAGGCTGTAGCTAGGTTCCTTTCACTTTTTGCATACAACATCTACAGTTTTAGTTGTAGATCTAATAGGACACTAAGCCTCTATGGGTACATTAGTCCAAATCTCCAACATGGCAAGTCAAGTCAACGCCATATGATCACCATGTCATTTCCCCATGAACCACGTGTTACCCTCGTGGGGTGACACATACGCCAATAAGCCATCTCCACTTGTCTTGGTGCTTCCCTCCGAGGCTGAGCCATGCCAGCTAAGTCTAACATAGGTGATGCCTTAGCATCAAGTCTAGTCCACTCATCTATGCGAATCTTCAATCCATTGTGTTGCCTCGCCCACCAGTGATGACATTAGTACCATTAGCTAGGTTGAGGAACTCTCCAATCAAGAATGTTCCTCCTATTCCTCAGTCCCCTACTTCCAATGTTACTCAGAGGGGCCTCCTAGTTCACTCACCCAAACACACGCACTGCATTTCCTCATTGAATCTTTGCTCGAACACATATCCTATCCCGCTCATGATGACACACTCAGCACGCTCAAATTAATTCAGCAACCCTCCACCCAAGCGTATCCCTCCTATACCTCAGTTCCTTATTTTCAAGATTATCTCCAAAAGGCACCTTGAAGCTCTCAAGCCAACACATGTTAGGAGCAAGACCAAAGGAGCCCTCAAGGTCAGTGCCATGGTTATAGGGCAACCAAGCGACTTTATATCCCTCGCACGAGACCTTCAAGGATATGTGACTTGGTGGCTAGAGTTGAGGGTCTGTCAAGGCACTCTCTAGTGGGAATTGAACCTCGACTGGTTTTAGAAAGAGAGAAATTTCCACTAAAAAATATTTTCTAAGACAAAGACACGTAGAGAAACTACCTCTGTGACCCTTGAGGCCTCTGACTGAGGATATCACCACCACTATCAGTAGTGACTATTACCTCCACGAATGTGGGGCCATGAAGAGGAAGCAACTTGTCCCTTTGTTGATACTCGGGCACATGACCCTAGCATGCTTAGGTTAGCTATCCTCAAAGACCAGACCCTCCTATAAATAGTAGATCTCCTCAATTTTCATCTGCATGCATGCACAGAGAAATCCTTCTCCTCCAACAAGCCTAAAGGCTTCAGTTTTCCTTCGCAACCACTCTCTCTCTCTCCTCAAAAGACCAACTTAACTAATAGCTCTCACCCTCCACCTTCACTGGTTTCACACCACCTAAGAGCCAATCAAACTTCCCAGAGGTCTCCACACCCAACCCACTCACCCTCGGCTGTCCATTATGTGATATCAAACCCAAAACAATCCAAGTTGAACCACAACTACATAATATAACCAAGTTCATTACAAATTAGAGTACCAAAGAAGAAAGGGAGATGAATCAGGAAAACGTAGTAGTTAACAAAACTTTAACTTTACCTTATCAAGATAAGCCTGCACTTCTTTTATGTCCTCAGTGTAATCCTCATCTCGCAAAGGCAAACTAATGGCCTTCTTGTTTGGACCTGGTTCAAGTTGAAAGAATCCAGAATTCTGGCAGATATCACCCATCAAAAGTTTCTCATCATCCATATTCACTTAGATATTTGCTACCTTATGCGAAAACATCAAAACATTTGATACTCAAATAAGGCACACAACACATCACGGTTATGGATGTATGAAAATGAGTTCTATATTCAACCAACAAAACAAAGTAGTAAGCAAGAAACTAATATGGAGCCAAACTTTAACAAATTCAAAAATTTTGAAGTTTTTTTTTTTGAGGGGGGTGGGTAAAAATATTTTGAAGTTAAAAATGCCATTCAACATCAATCATCCTACCTAGACAACAATGAGTTTGTTTTAGATGAACAAGTAGATATAGAAAAAGTTACTGCATCGAAACATAAAATTCCCTTCTAAGGAAAAGATGGACCAGAAAATTACAAGCTATGGAGCAAGAAGTTATAATATATATATATATATATATATAAACTATTTAAGAGATGATATAATTGATTGAACAAACATTGGAAAAAGGGAGAGATCTTCCCAAGAAAAAAAAAAAAAACTATACTCCCACTTGCTAATGAAGACTTCGATAGTCAATCACCTAGTCTAAAACTTGGCAAGCCAAAGTTTGCCTGAATTAAATTCACATCTCCTTTCGTACTGCTCTTTCATCCTCATTGGTCCTTTCTCTTGCTGGTTAAAATGCTCGATTGCAACTATCAGCTACCTCTACCTAGCTGCTAAAACAGGATATTGTATGGGTGTGGAAAGAATGGATTGCTCCTCATGTGTGTGAGTGAGCAAGAAGCCAAAACATTTACCTTCTTCTAGTTGTGCACTTCTCTAGTGCTTTTTGTTATGTTATGCAATACATCTTTCCATTATCTCCCACAATTTGCTCACTTGTTGGCACCTGGCGCTCAAGACCTTACAAATTGGATTATCCATATAATATACAAAAAGAAAACTATAGATTTGGGGCCAATCAGGTATAACCGTGTGTCAAACTATGTCAAGCAGGAGACAAAAGGAATATTCAGTTGATTCCTTTCCAATAAGAACTAGACATGCGTCCCACATGCCCATGTGCATAGACAGAGTCGATGAGGTTTTTAGACTCAAGGATTCAGTATTTGCTTTGGTTTATCAAAAGAACCCAAAGAGTCTTGTGCCTTTCTTGGTCAAACAAACTCACCGTGCGATTTCTGACAAGTCTTTTGAATTTTTGAGCAAGAAGCAGAACTATAAAAGTTGCCCATTCAAGAGGTAATTTGGCCATAGTGTTGGTCACGCAGATCCCTGGTTTGTATCATAGTGTTGGTCAGTGGTGTCCGCCCTCATGCTCTTCCCAACTATCCATTTTTTATCATTTCAATTGTTTGCCCCTAGAATTTCATCAAACACCACATTTATCACTTTTGAACCCTAAATCTATAACAAATGCATCAAACTATGGTTTTTTATGAAATTTGAGGAACAAACGACTAAAATGATAAAAAATAGATAGTTGGGAAATTATTCTCTTAAATACATTTTTCAAATGTAGGTTTTCGCTCAGCCCATAAGGTACATTTATGTTTATGTCTGTATTTGTTCTATAGTTGGCTCAACAGGTTTCCTTAGTATGTCAAGGGTGGATTAATGAATGACTGCTTTAGCTCTATCGACAACACCCCTGCCTAAAGTTCTGACACTTGTTTCAAGCTCTGCTTTGGGAAAATGGCCCCACCCAATGTGATCAATGTGACATTCTACTGTTCATCGATTAAAAAAGAAACTAACAGATATAGATGGAGGACTGACATTGAAGCACTTTTCATAGTTGAAGGCATAAATGGAGACAAAATGTAATTGAGGGGCTGAATTGAAACTGGTAACTCGCCCTCGGTACAACATCCACTTTAAATACGTCGGACAGAGTTCCACCATCTTTCCTAAAACCAATTGCTGATAGAAAGGCTTCACTTATGTCTTCTATGGCATTCGACATTGTGCCCCGCGGGTCTATTTTTAGAGCAGTCCACAGAGTGTCATTGTGTACCAACAAAATACTTAGTAATAAATTCTAATTAGACTATGGGAAAGATTAAGAAAAACCAAGTAAATTACCAGAGAGCAATTTACCCCAAGTAAATCATCCAGTTTGAATACGTGATGAGAAATTCTACCTAAAAATATGGGAAATATTAAGAGAAACAAACACTTCAAGCAGTACACATACAAATACATAATCCAACACACATACCTAAGTCCATGTAACAGAGCTATTTCAACAATCAAAAACCACGTGGGTAAAATAGTTAGATCTCTCAGGCATTTTAACATACAGTTTATGTGCAAATTTTAGAACTTTACAAGTGTGCATTGGACACTAACCCAGATGAAATTAAGCAGACCCAGAAAGAAATACACACTCACATAAAATTTACATGCGATACAAGCATTGATTGTGACTTTTTCAGTATCTGAGAGATAGATAAAAATCAAGGAATAGATGAAACATAGTGATGAGAGTTCAAAGACTAACAAAACCTGAGTTCCGCCTGAGAAAGTAGAGGATTCAATGGATGGTGAAGTTGTCATCTTTGAATTATTCAAGTAAGGGGGAGAGAAAGAGAGAGAGAGAACCCAAGGGATGGCAATTCAACTACAGTGTGCCAGCCCTCACCACACGGGGGTTTGTGTCTAACACCTTGTTTGGATGGACTGATTTTTTTATTTTGTCAATTTAAATTATTTATCTATTTTTGTTAAATAGATTGATGAAAAAAAATATTTTGGTTGTTAAACTCAATAAAAAAATAATATTTTAATCATTTTATTATATATACCTACATTGAGTTTAATAAGTAGGGTGTTATTTTTTCCTCAATTTATTACTTGATTGAAAACAAATTAAAATAAGAAGATTTTTAAAATTAAAAATTAAAAATTTGTTTTGCAACAAGGGTTAATTCTTGGAGTTTTTATATATATATAAATTTCCTCTAATAATATTAGGTGATTCTACTTACACCACTCTTTTACCTCCTTACACCCTTCATATAAGATTGTTTTTTTCTTCCAATTTTATCCATATGTGAAATTACTTAAAGGGAGAAAACACTAAAATTAAATGTATTTGATTATCTCCTTACCCCCCGACCTTTCAATTCCTACTTCTCTTTTTCCTTTCTCAACTTTTCTTTTCTCTTGTACGTCTCTTTTGAAAAACTGATAATCATAGTGTTTTGATCATCAAAAAAAACAATGGATGAAAAAACGGTGGTGAAAAACCATCAAAAAAGTGAAAATGGTGAGTTTTTTTTTTAGTTTGGTAGGTTTTTGTTTCGATTTTCTGGGTTGGTGTGCGACTTTTGTTCGGTGTTTCGAAATTGAACAAAATAACATCGTCCAGTATCACAGTGCCAAAAAAAAAATATAAGTCTAGCATTCTATTACCGAACAGCCCCAAATTATTTTTTACAACAAAGTGGCTCTGTAAATGTATAGCAACAGAATGCTAGACAAATATATTTTTTCCAGCAACATAACACCGAACAAATGTAGTTTGTCTACTATTGTGCGACTGAACAGACACTTCACAGTGGGCTCCACTGACTTTGTTATAAAGTAAATTGAAATTTTCCAATTGTATGGCAACATAATGTTGGGAAAAACTATTTTGTCTGGTAACAGAACACTGGATTAATTAAAATTCACTAGCATTTTATTACCGAACAGTCCGAGTACAAATTATTACCACATCATTTGGGAGGATGTGGCTCTATAATGTATAGCCACAAAAGGCTAGACAAAACTATTTATTCTGGCGTTATATTACCGAATTTTTGTAAATTGTTTCGCATTGTGTGGCCGAATAGGCACTTCAATGTGGATTCTACTGGCTTTGTTGGGCAGCAAACAAAAATTATCCAATTGAACGGTAACATAATGCTGGGAAACAAAATTTTATCCAGTAACATGGAACTAGAGTAGTTCAAATTGTTTAGCATTGTATTACCGAACAAAAACATTATTTAGGATAAAGTGGCTCTGGAAATATATAGCAACTAAATACTGGAGGGATCTATTATTTTCGGTAACTAAGCACCGGAATAATTCAAAAACAATGTTACTTCCAACAAATGGTACCATATCCCTCCAAAACACTGTAATACCATTACAATGCATTACAAACAATAACAAATTCATATGTTCACCAAAATAAGTTTCCATTGACATAAATATTGAATACAAAATAGATGTGAAACTGTTTAAAATTCTTACAAAAGTATGACAATTCATTACTTGTCCAACCAAGCATCCAGTTTACAAAAGATCCAAGGCATCTACAAAAACTATGCCATTAGGGAAAAGTATATCCCAAATTCTGTACAGTCTAGGCATCCACAAAAACTATGTCATAAAAAAAAAAACTAGATCCCAAATTCTGATAGTACATTTTTGATGGAACCTGAACTCAAGACTGACACAAGAGGAAGGAGCCGGGGTCGCGGCTGTGGTCAATTCAAAATCGATACATCTACTAAACGCGAGCCATCTGCATTTGAGTTTGTACTATCTGGGAAAGATAGTTATTCACAGGGTGTTACCATCTCAACTGCACTAGTTCGTAAGCAAGTGCAACGGAAGAAGGCAAAAAAAGATTATGTACGTAATTACATAAAACTTGTAACTATGTACAAAATATATTTTAATAGTTTTTCAACCTCATTTTAATTATTTCATATATCCATTGCTGTATATTTGTGATGTAGGTTTGTATGACGTAGTCAACAAATCATATCTCTTAGTTCAAACAATTTCCGGAGAGGTTGAGACCATATATCCATCACATAAAAGATGTACAAGCAGATGACAATTGTGGTTTCAGGGAAATAGCTGGATTGATTGGTTTAGGTGAAGATGATTGGCAACAAGTTAGGCGCAACTTGTTGACTGAGTTGCATTCTAAATGGGCTTCTGACGTTGGAAGGAAGATTGGATTTGTCATTGTTATAAAAACATCAGATGCAGGAGGTAATGGCAAAAAATCAAGACTTGCCTTTACTTGTGAAAGAAGTGGTTATTATAGAGACAACAGGAAGATCAAGGGGGAACGATTGAGGTTGACAGGTTCTAAAAAGTGTGGATGTCCATTTCTATTAAGGGGGGAAAATTACCTACAAATGATGAGT